GGTTCTATTGTTATGTGTCTGTTCAAGTCTTTTCCTTCACTCTGTGTGAGTTTAGGTAGGTCGTGTTTTTCTAAAAATGTATCCATCTCTTCTGAGTTTTCCAATTTGTTGGAGTACAAGTCTTTATAGTATTCTGTTATTATCCTTTTGATCTCCTTTTGTTCCCTTGTGACATCACCCATGTGGTTTCTAATGCATGTTATTTGTGTCTTCTCCCTCTTTTCTTTTGTTAGATTTGACAATGGTTTGTGAATTTTATTAATCCTTTCAAAGAACCAGCTTCTTGTCTTGTTGATTGTTTCTATAGTTTTTCTGTTTTCTATCTCATTTATTTCTGCTCTGATCTTTATTATTTCTTTTCTTTTGGTGAGTGTAGTTTCCCTCTGTTTCAAGTTGCTGGAGATGCAGTGTTAATGTGTTGATTTTGATTCTTTCTTCTTTTGGGATGTGCACATCTATTGCAATAAATTGTCCTCTCAGCACTGCTTTTGCTGTGTCCCAAAGATTTTGGTATGTTGTGTTTTCCTTCTCGTTTGTTTCTAGGAACTTTATGAATTCACATTTAATTTCTTCTATTATCCAATTGGTTTTTAGCAGGGTGTTATTCAGTCTCCATGCGTTAAACTTTATTTCATTGGTCTTATTGTTAGTTTCTAATTTTATGGAATTGAGGTCTGAAAAGATGCTTTGTAGTATTTTGATGTTTGTAAACTTATGGAGGCTTGCTTTGTGACCTAACATATGGTCAATTTTGAAGAATGTTCCACATGCACTGGAAAAGAATGTATATTGTGCTGTTGTTGGGTTGTATGCTATGTATACATCTATGAGGGCAAGTTGGTTGATTGTGCTGTTTAGTTCCTTTGTAGCTTTGTCGAGTTTATGATTATCCCTTTCGAAAGTGGCATATTAAAATCCCCCATTATAATTGTAGATTTATTTATTTTCTTTCTTCAGTTGTAGTAGGGTTTGCTTTATATATTTTGGCGCTCCTTCATTGGGAACATATGTATTTATTATGGTGATGTCGTCTTGCTCAATTGATCCTTTGATCATGAGATACTTGGTGTCCTTCTTTGTCTCTTATGCTGGTTTTTATATTAAAGTTTACTTTGTCAGAGATTAGTATGCCACTCATGCTTGTTTATTGTTGCAGTTAGCTTGGTAAATTTTTTTCCATCCTTTAACTTTTAATCTGTTTTTGTCTTTGTGTGCAAGCAGCATATTGAAGGGTCTTATTTTCTTATCCATTCAACCACTCTCTGTGTCTTCATTGGTGCATTTAATCCATTGACATTCAGTGTAATTATCGATAGAGATGGATTAACTGCTGTCATTATGTTAATTTTTTGTAGTGCTGTTTGTTCCTTGTTCTGCATTCCTTCTTGTGTTGGGTTTGTGTTTTTTGTGCTATTTCTTATTGGTTTCTTCTTGGTTTTAATGTTTCCTTGTTCTGGTTGTATCTTCATTTTCATGGTAAGTTGTGAAGTATTAATTTTCTTTGGTGTTACCCTATAGTGTGTTAAGTTTTTCCTGCGTTTAAGACAGTCTGTTGTATCCTGCCATCTACTCAACATCCTCACCACCTGGATCTCTGTTCCTATATTTTACCCTTCTCTGACATTGTTAATATTTTGATCTTTGGTTGGCCTCACAGGTCCTCTGAATTAATTGCTGTAATTTTGTCCCGTTCTGAATTCTGCTGTTGACTGAGTTCCAGGTGGTATTGCCAAGTCTGTTAATCTCTGGTTGTTGTCTGTTCTTGCTGTTTGCATTCCAAAGAACTCTCTTTAGGATATTTTGAAGGGCTGGATTGGCTTTGACAAAACCTCTTAGCTTCTGTTTATACTGGAATGTTTTGATTGCACCATTGTATGTGATTGACAGTGTTGCTTATATATGTCTCCCCATTGCCTTCTTGCCTGCATGGTTTCTGCTGAGAAGTCAGAGCTTAATCTGATTTGCTTGCCTTTGCAGGTAACACGTCTCTTTTCCCTGGCTGCTTTTAGGATTCTCTCTTTGGAAAGCTTATGATATGTCTTGGTGATTTTCTTTTGGGGTGTATCCTTCCTAGGGTTCATTCAGCTTCTTGAATGTTTATATTCTCATCCTTCAAGATGTTAGGAAAATTTTCTTCCAGAAATTCTTCAACTGTCTCTTCTGTAGATTTCTGTGATTCTTCCTGTTCTGGAATGCCAATAATTCTTGTTATTCCTCTTCATGTTATCCAGCATGAATCTTAGACTCTCTTCAGATTTTTTAATCCTTTTATCTTAGCAGTATTGAGATATTCGTCTTCCAGCTCTCTGATTCTGGCTTCCATTTCTTCCATTCTGCTCCTTTGCCCTTTCAGTGTATTGTGCATTTCTGATATTTTATTATTAATCATCTAGGCTTCTTTTTGCAGGTTTTAGATTGTTTCCAAAGCCGTATCTATCTTGTTTGATTGTGCCTGTAGCACTTTTCCTGACTTCTTCCTTATTTTCCTACACCTCTTTTTGGAGCATTTGAATTTGTTCCATATTATTCTTCTGAATTCTTTCTCAGGCACATCCAGAGCCTACTCTTCTACTGGTAAGTCTGTGTCTGCTTCCATCTTATTTGTCTCAGTTACTTTTTTCTGTTTTTGTATATGTGTTGAGATCTTTAACTGTGTTTTCTTGGACATTTTCAGCAGTTATATGAGTTTTTAATGCTTAAATGGATGTATGTTGCTTTGTTATTAAGCTTGCTGAACATCTCCTCGTGGATATGATCTGGAGATAGGCTTCCCTTTTCACATGTGATGCCTAGCAGCTGGTTTTGGCTCTTGTCCAGATGGTGGGGTACTACAGGTATGCTTGTAGCTTGGTTATATGGGCACAGTTGCTGTCTCTTCTCAGGTAAGGTAGGGGAGAAAGCTCCAACCCCTGGGAGAAGAGTGAGGCCAAAGGACCAAAGATAAAAACAATATAAAAGCAGAGACAGAAACCACCATTCTAAAACAAAAATAAAATTGTGATTGACACTCTCCACTGGCTTTTGCTGTGCAGGCAGGAATAAAGGATCCTGCCTAGGTAAAGTTTGGGGCTGGTTCCCAGGGTCAGAATGTCATAAGAAGCAGCCTGTGGGTTTCCTTGCTGTGCTGTTGGGAAACTGTGGGTGCAATGCTGGACCCTTTTTGGGGTGTGCTCCTACCCGCTAGAAGGCATCTGGGCCGTGCAGTGAGGGCACAATCAGGGTGAAGAGGAGAGATATTTAAAAAATCAATAGTGAAAGATGAAAAATCAGTTACACATCTCTCTCCAGATGTGCAGCTCTGGGGCTTCTAGTGCTGGGTTGCTGCCTCAGCTTGGCTGCGGCCCCGCCCTCCGGCCTGAGGACTTCTGGCTGCTGGTCACCGTGGCTGGATTGATTCAGAAGTCATCGTATTTTGCTAACACAGGCAGATTTCTTCTCAGTGGGCATGGGAAACTGGCACACAGAACCTTGAACAAGATCCAAAGCTCTGCAGTTTTTCTGTGGACCGCATTTTCTCTGCTTTTTTTAAGGTTTTGGCAGAGGAGTTTTCACTGTCTGTCTCTGCTTTCCCCACTTCAAAACCAGAAGTCTATTGAAAAGCATTCTTTTATAATATGGGTTAGGTTTTAGAAACTTCCTGGTGTGGCACTATAGGATAAGCACTAGACTGTGAACCACAAGGTCGATGGTTCAAACTCAGCTCGTTGGAAACCCTGTACAGGGTGGCTATGGGTTGGAATCGACTTGACGGCATTTAACATAGTTATATATATATGTATACATACGTATACATAGATACATAGAGAGACCTGGCGTGGCGCTGTAAGCAAATGCATCAGACTGCAAAGTCGTTTGAACTATAAGGTCAGTGGTTCAGGCTCACCAACTGCTCCTTGGAAACCCTATACAGGGTCGCTAAGGTTCGGAACCAGCTAAGTGGCACTTAACAACAACAACATAGAGAGCTCTGGTAGCATGATGGATTATGAACTGGGCTGCTAATCTCATTATCAGTAGTTCAAATCTACCATTCACTCCATGGAAGTGAGGCTTTATGCTCCAGTAAAAATTTACAGCCTCAGAAACTTTACACAGGGTCACTATGAGTCGGAATCGACTGCACAACACACAACCACCACCTATATACATATCAAGAATCACCCTTTTTCATAACAGCAATGCCTAAGATTGCTTCTTAACTATGGGAAAGATGATTGATGTGCTGTCTCTTTGTTGTTACTGTTTCTAAGTGCCATTGAGTCAGTTCAGACTCATAATGACCCTGTCTGAAGTTTCTGAGGAATGGCTTCTGCTGGGTTTGAACTGCTCATCTTGCAATTAACAGTTTAGTGGTTATCCTACAGCAACACACCAGGACTCCTGATGTCTCCTTCTGATATAGCAAAGATTGCCATAGGTTTATTACTCCTTTATATCATAAAAATGTTGTTGAAATTATCTGTTAATGCTTGAAAAATTACCTTTCATAGGGAAAAATATCAGTTATTATGTAGCCATATTAACTCTTAGGATCACTTAGGTAAATTAAGGTATCTGTGTTGATCCCCCTGGGTGGTACAAATTATTAACCAGTACTTAAGATGAAAGGTTGGGAGCTCATACACACTCAGAGATTCCTCGGCAGATAGGCTTGGCGTTCTGCTTCTGAAAGGTCACAGCATTGAGACTCAGATGGAGCAATTCTACTCTAAATACAAAGTTGGCATGAGTCAGAATCAGTTCCACACCCACTAGTAACAATAGCAACAAGGTGTCTGTGTACAGAGGGCTATAGAAAGAAGGAGAAGCAACAGAGGAAGGTTTCTGTTGCCTATAGTCTTTATTCTTTTACCAAGACACAGAAAGAAGCACCTGTGGTTATATCTTTGGATCTTTATCCAAGCTCTATGACATGTGTATTATACTTGTCTGGTAATGAATGTTTTCAAAGGGAATTGGTGTTTCAGTTTTTGTTTTTTGTTTTTTCTGGTTTATCTTAGCACTGCAGCAGCACCTGGCAGACATGAATGTGGATGGACCAGAAAATGGATATGGTCATTGGATTGCAAGTACCTCAGGTTCAAGGAGTAGTATCAGTTCTGTAGATGTAAGTGTATGTGTATAATGTGCCCCTGGATTTGGATAAATGCCCAGAAGAGGTGATGAACTGCCAAATCCCTACCATAACAGAAGTAGAATACAAATATTTCAAAAGCATGCAAATAAAATGATGAGGATAATGAAATGATGGGGTATACTTATACAGCTAACTAGTTCTGGACATCCAGCTGTTCAATTCAGATTTCTCCCAATCCATCTTCAGTGTAATGTCACACAGTAAGTTTTCTACTCCACCTTAGCTAGCAGTGTGGACAGTTCTGGGGCCTGTCACTAGGTGGGATCCTCAGGTGACCCTATGCATGCCTGGAACCTTCCTGTGGCCATGTCTCTACCCCTATCCATCATAAACTTACATGATTAGAACTGACGTCCACTTACATTTATATCTGATTTTGCATTACTGTGATGTATTGCAGGATTTTGCTGACATTATTTTTGTTCTACTTTGGAGAGATTTGGGTCATGAGTGTTCTGTGCTTTTTATATTTCTAGTCAGTTGAATTTTTGTTGTTGTTAAGTGTTGTGGAATGACTACCCATAGTCACCCTGTATAGGGTTTCCGAGGAGCAGCTGGTGAGCTTAAACAGCCGACCTTGCGATTCAAACCGGCCTTGCATTCCAGCACATTAACCAACAGTGCCACACCAGGACTCTGTGTACTCTATATAGTACAGTATAAATAAGAGCAGTATAAAAAAAAAAAAAATGGAATCACTTATAACCCTACTAAACAAATATAACTGTTGTTGTTGTTGTTGTTGTTATGTGCCATCGAGTCGGTTCCGACCCATAGTGACCCTGTTTCCGAGGGTGTAAATCTTTACGGGAGTAGAAAGCCTCATCTTTCTCCCGTGGTGTAGCTGGTAGTTTCGAACCGCTGACCTTAAGGTTTGCAGCCCGATTCGTAACCACTACGCTACCAGAGCACTGTAGTTTAGTGTTTTATTTTTAAAGTAGTTGATCATAGTGTACATAGAGTTTTATATATTTTCCTTTCTCATTGAATATAGCAATTTATAACATTTATCATTTTTTTGAAGTATACTTTATAGCTGTATAATTTTCCAGTGAAATAGTACCTATCTTTATTCATTTTTTTATTGTTTTTTTCTTGTATATTATGAAGAGGAATTAATGGCAAAAGATAGGAAAACTAATTGAATGATGAAGATAATTTCAGACTTCACACATTTTTATATATGTGCAGTAAATGAAGGGGCTTCAAAAAGTTCATGAAAAATAATCAAAGATTAAAAGAATAAAAAGATAATGGAATTTTTCCATTAATTTATTGAAGCTTCCTCATATATTTTAATTCAGATTTTCTACATTCCATTCTTAAAATGGTTTCACCTAGATAGCTTTTACTGTTGGTATGTTTGAGAATGATTGGAGAGCAGTTAATCCGTCATTAAAGTTCTTTTCTTTCAGGGTGAATCTTCTAATGGTGCAAATGATAGAGGAATGAAATCACTAGTAAATAAAATGACTGTTGCTTTGAAGACAAAATCTGTTAATGTCAGGGAAAAAGTTATCAGTTTTATTGAGAATACTTCAACTCCTGTGGACCGGTAAGTTGTTTGTACAATATGATCTTATAATGAGTAATTAATACCTAAAGAAAAGTGTCTTGTAGTAAATAATTGAAGTGATCTAGGAAAGAACCACAAAGAACGTTTTTTATTAAATGGTTCCATTATAATTCTCAAGATATACTTTATTGCTGTAAAATTTGGCATACAGAATCCTCTTTTTTTCCTACTACTAAGAATTATACACAAATAATGAAGTCTGCTCCTTTATGACATTCACTAAAAATATTTACATGCCAACAAATTACATCTTATAACATAGATGCTTTCCAATTGTCAAATGGATGGAGAATCATCTACTAAGGCAAATACTCTCATTGTAAGAACTTCTTCTGCACTGAGAATTTAAAGTCTAGAAAATTTGGTCATGTTAAATAAATAAAGCAGAAACCTACTTTCTCAAGATGAATAGTTCAGCTCTTCATAAAATTTTATTCATAGAATAAACTCCGTTTCCAGTGAATTACAAATGAAGGACACAGCTAACAACTAATAGAAAGTTTAAGAATATCTTTTCTATTATTTCTTAAATTCCAAAGCAGGAACATGTGTTTTTAAGCAAGCCTATCTTGGAAATGTGTTAATAGTATTTAATCTCACTTGGCAGTATCCTAGACAAGTTGAAATGCTTGACTTTAAGAACTGAATTAATGTTAGAAACTTGCTGTTTGTCACTTTACTAAATTAAGTATGCTACGTAGGCATACAAAAATACATGTTTTCACTTATCAAATTAGAAAAGTTTGAAAATAGGTAATTTTCACTAATCCAGAAAATTTTGCCTTTTCTAAAATGTTAAGTGCCATAGAGTTGGTTCTGACTCATAGCGACACTATATAGGATTTTCAAGGAGTGGATGGTGAGTTTGAACTGCCAACCTTGCTGTACAAACCAACCTTGTGGGCTAATCCTACTTTGTGGTCCAGTCCTTAACCTATAGCTCCACAACTGATAAATAATATTTTTGTTTTTATCAAGACTGAAAGATTTGTTTGCTCATTAAACTTCAGCCTGCTCTCAAAAGTCTAAACCCCTTTTCCTTTTAGTTAGTGCATTCTGAATTAGAGTACTACTAGTGCTCCTATTTTCTAGTATTTACATTAAAATTTTTATTTTGAAATTAAATCATACTTTTAAAAGATTCTGGTGATAGCTGAGCTTACAAAAACTATTAGCTAAGTAGTCACTTGAATCTAGCATTTCTTCATTTTTCTGTGTACTTGATTAAATCATTTTCTCTATAATGTTGCACCTTCTCGTTAGAAAAACTGATTATACTGTATTTTTGTCTTAAAGCTGTTTCACTGTTATAATCATTTTGTTCTGTCCTCTGCCTTGATTTGCTGTAGAATGTCTTTCAATCTTCCTTGGCCAGACAGAACATGTACAGAGCGGTAAGCCAATCATTAGAGCAGATCTATTGAACCATCCTGTTCCTTTAGCATGCCTCCTACTGCCTACAATCCTATGTTGACCTGACTTAAATTTCATGCACCCACTTCAAATGCTGAACTTTTCTCATTCTGCTTTTAGGAGTGTGTGATGCTGATATTTGATGTGTATCTTCTTTTCATTTTTTTGCTTGGTCATTTACGTAGTTTTTTTCATTGCATGATTTTCTATCATTTCCCATTCCACAGATAAAAATTACGGTTATTGAAGCTCAAGACCATCACAAAACATGCAGTTTCTATTCTGAGGCAGGAAGGTGAAACAAAGAAAATATGTAGCATCAGAGTTGATAGCGTGCGTTTTAACTTCGGGTATTATCTGTCCCTAACAGTAAAGAAAATTAATCGGCATAGTTCATAGTTCAAAATTTAAAATTTATACACCCTGTGCAATTTTATATTTTAAGAAATAATTCCAAATGTTTAAGTTGATGAGTTAGCACATATAATACTGGTTCCCAAGAATCACAGTTAAAATATGGTTCTACTTTTGCTTTTCCTTGAAAGAAAATTAGGCCATGTGGTATCGATTCTAAATAATTCCTCTCTTTTCTACCCCTAGTATGACGTTAAGGTTTAGAGTGTTTGTCATTAAAAGAAAAGATTCCATAAGTCTCAAGTTTTAAAACCTACTGGATCTACAAGTAAGATTAGCAAAAGAACTTTACTAACTTAATTATATATGACTTTACATGCTGACGCTCATAGACGTTTTCAGAAATTTAAACTAGAATATCAATTATATTGTGAACATTTACAAAGGAATTCTAATTATATAAATACTTTGAATGTAAGTTAAACTTTGAAATAATATAATTGATTTCCAGGTTATTTGATTAATTTTAGTGTCTAGATGTAGCATTTTTTAAAACAATAGTTTTAATAACTAGCCTGTTAAGAGTTCTTATCTACTTTGATTGTTCCTGCAAAATGCATTTTCAAGACTTCTATTATAAGTTACTTGGTATAGCACTGTGTTATATAATGCACTGGACTGCAGAGTTGCTTTGAATTGCAAGGTCGGCAATTCAAACTCAACAGCTGCTTCTCAGAAACCCTATGCAGGGTTGCTATGCGTTGAAACTGACTCCACAGCACTTAAGAACAATAACAGCATTATAATTTACCTAGGTAGGACTCTTTTGGGGAGTGTGGTGTCTCCTTACCATAAGCACTGGATTTCAAACCAGAAAGTCAGAGGTTTGAGCCCCACAGCCACTCTGCAGAAGAACAATCGGGCTTTCTGTTACCACAACAATTTAAAGCCTTAGAAACCCTAAAGAAGGCCTCTATCAGTCAGAACTGACTCAACAGCACTTAGCAACACCACTATATAATAAGAGAAAAGTAGAAAGATGACTCACAGCAGGTTATAATTTTTAAAAGAAGCTATTTCTTTTAAGAGTCCTGTGGTTTCCAAGGAGCAGCTGATGGGTTTGAACCTCTCACCTTGCATTTAACAGTTAAGTGCTTATCCTATAGTGCCATACCAGAATCATTAAGTTAAACTAATTTTATTTAATTCCCAAGCCTTCTCCCAAATTCTTCATTTTTTAAAATAGTCAGGTATGTTTAGTTTGAAAATAGAAGTTAGTGAACAGTCAAAATGAGTTGGTTTCTTTCTGAGCTTAGTAAATTAAATTAAAACCTGGTTGAACTATTTTATATATGTTTCTGTTATGCTTTGGCTAAAAAGATATAAGTGATGCTACCTTTTTTTAAAAGTCCAGTCACTGAATTTTATAAATTTTTAGCTAATTTGGTAATCTGCAGCATCCTTTATGAAAACTTTGCATTGAATAGTAAATCCAGATCAATGATGAAAATTATTGTAAAAAGGATTAGCTCTATTCCTTCTTTCTGGTTCAAACATTTAATGTAAACATTCTCATTCTATATTGTAGCAGTTTGGTTTTAATATCAGGAGAGAATTAATAATTTGGTCTTTCAAAATTTTATTGTCTAAGATAACGCTAAAGAATTTTTTAGATAAAATTATTACCTTGGTCTTTGCTTTTTTAAAGAAAGTTGGATCTGAGTTTCAAGGGTATTTAACTTATTTCTTGCTTCTGATTTTCAAGGGTATTTAAGTTACTTCTTTTATTTCTTGCTTTCTTGTCATAATTTAATAAATTAACATAATTTTCATCAAGGTGTTTTAACATAAAAATCAAGTGTTTTTAGTTTGCCCTTTAGGCTAGGTATTGATTAGTCTAACTTATAATTCCCAACTCCTTATAGTTTCCTGTTGACAAGTAGTGTTTTAGAAGAAATAATAATTAGGTCTAGTTTAATGAAATTATATTAATATAAGATTTTTATTCAAAGTATATATAAAACAATTACTTAAAATATAGTTTTGATCTCTCTTGTAAAAGTTGAATTCCTAAGACTATGTAAAGACATATAACTTAATTTTGCCCCCACATTCTATTTCTTTTGCAAATAGAAGATTCTGAGTATTTTTATATGTGACATGTCTTCCTTCATAGTAGTAGTTGATGTTGTGTGCCATTGAGTTCGTTCTTATAGCAACCCTGTATAATGGGTGGGGAAGGTCCAGGCTCATGGACCATATATGGCCCACAAAATCATTTGGCCTGGCTTTGCCAAGACAACCGCAATTCCAGCCGTCACATTAGGGGTGAGTTAATTAAATGTTTGACCAAATATAGCAGGTTAATTTTTAACTTGATAATTTTGTATGGTCCATGCATGATGTTATTAATATCCAAATGGCCCTGGCAGAAAAAATTTTCCCCATCCCTGCTGTATAGGGTTTCCAAGGAAAGATTGGTAGGTCTGAACCACTGACTTATCATAGTTGTTGTTGTTGTTGTTAAGTGCCGTCAAGTCACTTCTGACCCATAGCGACCCTGTATAGGGTTTCCGAGGAGTGGCTGGTGAGCTTGAACTGCTGACCTTGCAGTTCAAACAGCTTTGCAGTCTGGCTCATTAACCCACAGCGCTACACCAGGACTCTGATTTATCATAGTAGATCATCTTAATTGGACCTTATCCTAAAAATAATGCAGTGCTTCTTCCCTAGAAACATGTCGTATTTCTTGAATTATTTATTTTTACTTTTTTATTTGGGATTAAAGGTATAAATTGTTATATTAAACAAAGATCAGACTTACTGTAGAACTAATCAAGTTTTATTTACATGTTGTTTATGGATTTGCCACTTGGTGGTTTAATTTTTATGGTTTCATAAAGGCAGATTCATTTTCATGGTTTCTTTCTTTTTTGTGTAAAAGAGATAGTTTCAATTAAAATAAAAGTTAGCAGTGATAGAAAAATGAGAGGAAAAACCGTAAGATATTTGCCATATTAGGAGTCCTAGAATCTGAATATTTGGTTCCCTACTCTGTTTTGTCTAACAAAAATTTATGTAGCACTTGCTATAAACCAAACATTGCTCTAAGAACTTTACAAATATTAACTAATTTAATTCTCACAATTGCCTGAAAGCTCTTGAAACAGAGACACAGAGAAGGTAAATAACTGTTATAAGGCCACACAGATCTAAGCATTCATTGACTTAAACATGAATATTTTAATTGTTTGAAATTTAATTTTTATAGGTCTGAGACCATTTATTAAGTCCTTTTGCCACTCACTTTTGCTCACCTGATTTCCTTATTTTCTTTCAGTTTCCTTAACATAGTTATTTTTAAACTATGGGTGGAACATGGGGTGAAGAACATTTACATTTGTTTAAATAATTAAACGATGCTTACTAGAAACCTTTGATAACTTAAATGATGATTTTTCCTCTTAAAATTCTTGGAATATAGGCATGTAAGCAGTAGTGACAGAGTAGGCAAGCCTTACCGTGGTGTGAAGCCTGTTTTCAGCATTGCGGATGAAGAAGAGTACGACACAGGTATAGTAACTCGTCTGCAGACTGCTTTCCTTATTCACCATGAATGATTATAGAGATCTTATTAAAAATTACTTTTTAGAAGATACAGTGAAATTATGGAGAGGAGAATTGGTTAAGACTATGGCCTGCTATTGTGAGTCTGGGTTTTGTTGTTATTAAGTGCCATTGAGTCAGTTTCGTGATGTTTATTGAAGATTTGAAGGTCTCTGGATGACGCAAACAGTTTTTACTTGACTACTAACTAAAAGGTGGGCATTTGAATTAACCCAGTGGTGTGGCATGGAGTCCTGGTGTGGTGCTATAGTTTCAGCTGCATGGTCAGTGGTTCAAACTCAACCAGCCACTCCTCAGAAACCCTACAGGGTTGCTGCTAATTGGAACCAACTCAACATCACTTAACAACAGCAGTGGTGTGGCAGGAGAAAGGCCTGATGGTCTTTTCCCATAAGGTTATATACCCAAGGAAACCCTCTGAAGCTCAGTTCTACTTTGTGACACATGGGGTCACAATGAGTTGGAATTAGCACAACATAATGGTTTTGATTTTTCTTACTAAAAACCCAAGCAAAAATATTGAGTAGGCAGTAATAGCAGTCTTCACCTGAGGAGAGAGATTTGAGCTGGAGATCATTTAGAAACTGTCAGTGCACAAACGATCAGTATTTAAAACCACAGGATTGGATTTATGTCTCCTCTGTTGTCCATCTGGTCTTGGTGTGACATTGCAGGTTAATATACTGGACTGCAAAGTCATTTGAACTGCAAGGTCAGTGATTCAAGTTCACCAACCACTCCTCGGAAACTGTATACTGGGTTGCTGTGGTTCAGAACCAACTCAATAACACTTAATAACAGCAACAACAATCACCTATCTGGACTCCTGATAATAGGGTGCTGTAGGATCAGCACTGGACTGCAAACCACAAGATTGGCAGTTTAAACTCACCAGCTGCTCCTTGGAAACTCTGTACAGTGTCACTATGAGTTGAAACCAACTCGATGGCACTTAACTACAACAGTCACCCATGTGGAGTTCTGGTGTGGCACTGTAGGATAAGCACTGGACTGTTCATCACAGGTTCAGTAGTTCAAGTCCACCAGCTACTTCTTGGAAACTCTCAATACAGGGTCACTATGAGTCATAACTGACTCAGAGCACTTAACAGTATCACCTATGTAGAGGAATAAAGAGTTGTATTACTGAAATGCAGGGACTTCCAAAATTGAGACATCTGAAGAAAGCCTTTTGAAACTGGAGGCAATATCCTAAAGGGCCACAAGATGGAGATACTGTGCCAGGACAGTTTATCCTCTGTGGGTCTCTAGATTTATGATAATCCTACTTCCAAGTTACCACGAGTATTTATTAATAATGATTAACATACATATTGAGTTAGAAAAAAATCAACACATTATATAAATGTACAAAATAACTTTTCCCCAAACCATACCTTGCTTTTTTCCACTTTGTAAAAAAAAAAAAAAAAAAAAAGTTGCGTATTTTCCATTTCAGCCCATTCTCTTTATATCTTATGACTATGTTGTTTTAAGTACCGTCGAGTTGGTTCCGACCCATAGAGAACCTGTATAGGGTTTCGGAGAAGCGATTGGTGAATTTGAACTGCCGACTTTGCAGTTCAAACCAACTTTGTAGTCCAGTGTATTAGCCTGCAGCACCACACCAGGATTCCATATTTCTAAATCCTAAGTTACGACTATCACAGCAACTTAAAAGCCACCACAGTACGACAAACTGACAGACAAGTGGTGGTACCGACTTGATGGCACCTAACAACAACAAACAACAAATTATGACTGTACCATAAGTTATTTAACTACTCTCCTTCCAACTGATGCTGATATCAGGCTTTCCTGTTTCAAATGGCAATATATATATATATATATATACATATATATATATATGTTTTATATAAACTTTTGCCCAGGTATATCCATAGGGTCAGTTCTTAGCAGTGAGATTGATAGAGGGTATCACATTTGGTGTCTTAATAATAGTTATTATGAAATCACCTTTCAAAAAGCTTGTATTGATGTGCTATTTCTAGTATTTTTCTTTTTATCTTTTTTCTCTCTTTGTTATCATTTTCCTGTTCTCTCTCATCTTCTGTTTCTTCTTGATACAGCTCCTTTTATTCTCATGTCTGTTTCCCGTATCTTTTTAATTATACATCTTAGCCTGTAGCAGAGGGAAGAGGAGAATGAATGAATAAACTCTGATGTATTTGCACCTTGGAAAATTACACAATAGTGAAAATGAGAAAACTATATGTGTGTGTATAAAATACACATAATGTTGAAGATTTGCAGAAGAATGCAATTGAGTTAGTCTGCTATTTATATAAATTTTAAATTGCAAAACAAAGTGTATTATTAGGTATATTCATAAACGGTTAGAATATTTGGAGCTGGTAGCACCATATTCAGATTGTCACTGCTCCTTGATGGGACAAGGAGAGGAACGTGATTAGGGAGAAAGATAAAGAGGGCTTATTTTTATTTCTTAAGCTTCAGGGTAGATACATGAGATTTCCTTTTTGTCCCTTTGTATTTTTAATCATCTATTAAAAACCAAAAAGGAGAATATTTATAACTGTTAATTCTAGGAACTGTAATTGTCTTTCCTTAAATCAGAAAAAATATTAGAACATTTTCTATTTCTTGTAGGCAAAAAATAAAACACCTAAACTGAGTTTTATTTTCTAAATTGAGTTTTACTTGTATATCTCAGGATTGATTTTGTTCTTTTCCCTTTAAATAAGATACCAGCAATAGAAAAATAACTCTACCATATTTGCCCTCAACATTTGTTGTGAAGTTCTGTAGAGTCGGTTCCCACTATAGTGCCCTGTATAGGGTCTTCAAGGAGCAGCTAGTAAGCTTGAACTGCCGACCTTGCAGTTCAAATGGCTTTACAGTCTGACGCATTAACCCACAGCACCATACCAGGACTCCAGCATAAGTGCTTATTATTAGATAATTCATCCATTTCTTTGTAGGCTAGCCACAGATCATATTTATGCTATTTATGTCTAAAAGGGAGCGTGGTAGCTCTCTGTAGGATAAGTATTGGACTGCTAACCACATGGTCAACAGTCTGAGCCCACCAGCCACTCCATGGCAGAAAGATGAGGCTTTTGTTTTGCAAAGATTTATAGCCTTGTAAACCCTATACAAAGGAGCTCTGGTAGCGTGGTGGTTACGAATCAAGCTGCTAACCTCAAGGGTAGCAGTTCGAAACTACCAGCGCTTCCGCGGGAGAAAGATGAGGCTTTCTGCTCCTGTAAAGATTTACAGCCTTGGAAACCCTATACAGGGTCGCTATGGGTCGGAACCAACTTGACGACACTTAACAACAACAACACATCAAAAAAGTTGAAATTCCCTCAATAGTTTAATCTTTAAAAATTTTATTCTCAATATTTTCACCTGAGTTTCTTCCTATACATATGATGTTTCATAATTGTATTTCTGTATTAGTATTGGTTTCTTTTGAACTATTATGTTCAAAATACTACTAGTATTTTTTTTCAAAATGTTAAGAAATGTATCGTCTTTAAAGTTATATGCAAAACTGTTCACTTTTAACACTCTAAATTCTTTATAGATGAAATTGATAGTTCTTCAATGTCAGATGATGATCGAAAAGAGGTTGTAAACATTCAGACTTGGATAAGCAAGCCAGACATCAAGCATCATTTTCCTTGTAAAGAAGTGAAAGAAAATGGACACATGTTTCCTAGGTACTTTTAAAAATGTTTTCATCAGAAGTGAAGTTAAATTTGGTATAGTTAATAATATAAAACTGATCGAAATTCAGAAGAGCTTTTATTTATCTAAGTTATATCCTTCTGGCAACTTTTATCATATGTCTGTGCTCAAAAAAATTTATTTTTTCCCTTTTTATTGTCAATTGAGTGAATTTTTATAGCTCGTCAGTTTTACATTCTGCAAATTATGCACTTCATTACAATGATTGCAGTCTCCTCCAGGTGTCATCAGTTGTCAACTTTACTCTTGTTTATTGCCTGCCCCATCACCCATGTTGACATATACCTTACCCTCTAGCCCGTGAATAGTTCGCCCCCCCCCCCCCGTAACCTTCATAGAATATTTCTTTTACCAAGAAAACCTTTTCTTAACTTCAAAAATATTTTAATGTATTTTTTATTTTGAAAATGTTTTATACCTACAAAAAAGTTTAAGAAACATACATTGAACACCTTTATGAGCCTCTCGCATTTTCACCAGCTATTAGCATCTTTTCATTCTTAACACATTTGTCTATGTATGTGTGTATATGCATACACACGTGTATACCTACCCTCCCCCTTTTAGTCAAACAATTTAAAATAAAAGTTACAGTTATGAAACTTCACCCCTAAATTTAAGAATAAATCTCCCAAGAATAAGAACATCTTTCCATATAACCTCAGTATCTATTACCACACATTCAAAAATATTTTTTTGTTATCATTGAATATACAGAGCATACTCAAATACTCAAGAGTGCCCTCAAAGTTATCTTTTATAATTTTCATTTACTCTTCCTGATTCAGGAGCCAGTCAATAGTCAAACATTTTATTTGTTTGCTGTATCTCTTTAGTCTCATCCAATCTACAACAGCACCCTTTTCCTTTTTTCTTCATAATGGATGAATCTTTTGAGTTCAGGACAGTTGTTCCATACCACACCCCACATTCTGAAAGCTATCACTATATTAAAAGTAAGATGAGACACGGGATATTAATAATATGATGCCTTCAAGATCCAGTTGTAAATTATTGTAAAATATACACATGTAAGGAGGCACAACTGTTTGCATAGTGATCTTTCATATTAGCTACATACTATGGTGTGTTGCATCCTAGTATATGCATAACTGTAGCATCCTAGTGTTTATGGGATTTTACACGACTTTCATTGTTTTCATAGTTTCTGGTTTCTAGTAGCATTTTTATAAAAACCTGTCACATGTGTACTTTCTGATTCTAAAGTAGTATTAAATAAATACTGCATATTGATTTTAGGTAAGAAACTTAGCCTTTTTTAATAATAACAATGTGGGAGACATAAAGGCATGAAAAAGCCATTTATTATTTTAATGTTTGTAAATATAGTCAAGACTTAAAAGTCTAAAAGGTATCTTCAACTAAAATCTATTATTTTAATGACTTCTATAATATATTGAACTTTTATCACAGTGTTCCACCTTTGCTTTCAAAGAATTGCAGCATTATCTTTGTTATTAAAACATTAATTCAGCAAATAATTAAAACAATTTTAATTGTTAACCATGTTGCATGTTTTTTTTTAATTGAAAAGTAATTTTGTAGAGTTGAACATTTTTTATAATCAAGGCTGTTGAGAACAATAACTCTTCTTAATTACATTTCCTTAAAATTCTTTTTTTTCTTTTTTTTTAATGCCTCCCTGCAGTCATCTCTTAGTTACTGCAACACATATGTACTGTTTAAGAGAGATTCTTTCCAGGAAAGGATTGGCTTACATACAGTCTCGACAAGCCCTAAATTCTGTAGTTAAAATAACATCTAAAAAAAAACATCCTGAGCTAATTACCTTCAAGTATGGAAACAGCAGTGCTTCAGGAATAGAAATCTTGGCAATTGAAAGGTAAGATTTTATTAGTATTATAATTCCTGAATTACAAGAGTGCATTATTAATTAAACATAGTTTATTTCTCTATTTGGGGGAATGGATGATAGAATAGGATAATTGAACCATTTTTATTAATATTCTTTGCTGTCTTTTTCTCCCAAATCCTTACTTATACGAGGGGCCTTCAAAAAATTTGTGAGAAAATGGAATTAAAGGATAATGAAATTTGCCCACGAACTTTTGAAGTCCCTTCATATGTCATCTATCGATTAGTACATGTTCTTAGTGTGTACTATAGCTAATTCCATAAAACTTTTTGACAGAAGGGTTCTTAAGAATAATCTATCCCAGTGCTATAGATTTCTGGTATGGTGATGTAGGCAAAGCACCAAACCCCAAGGTCAGCAGTTCAGACCCACTAGCTTCTCCTTTGAAACCCTAATCAGGGTTGCTGTGAGTTGGAACTGACTTGACAGCACGCAACAACAACAACAATCACATGAAAAATCACATACCTTTAGAATCTAGGTTGCCTTTCATTCAAAATATATTTTTGAGTATATTTTGAGACAAGTTGTGGGGAATGACTTTGTGGGTCAGAAAAAGATCCTCATTGGAGGTGACATCTAAGCTGAGTCCTAAAGGGAAAGCCGAAGTTAGTCTAAGTAGTATTGCTGAAGATTAGGTGGCTTAGGTTGGAGGAAAGGCAAGATAAAAAGATAAATGCCCTTGCACTTCAACCTACAGGTAGTAAGAGACTTAACCAAAAGTGATGTGATCAGAGTACATTTCAGAAAAATCCCCCCAGTTGCATTGAAAGATGAATTGGAGATAAACAAGACAAGAGATAGGCCCTGTAGCAGAAGGGAAAGAGCCCTCCTTAGTAGCACAGTGGTTAGTTGGTTGGCTCCTAACAGAAAGGTTGGCAGTTTGAACCCATTCAGTGATTCTGATTTTGTGGGTAGAACAACCTGGTGATTTCTTATAAAGATTACAGCCTATAGGGCCGTATTTTGTCTGTACAATCACTATGAGTTTGGAATCAACTTGACCTCACCTAACAATAGCAGCAGCAGTAAGTCCCTGGGTGGTGCAAACAGTTAACATTCTGGGCAGCTAACCAAAAGACTGGAGGTTCAAGCACTTCAGAAGAAACCTATCTGACCATCTACTGCAAATAGTCATTGAAAACCCTATGGAACACAGTTCTACTGTGACACACATGGAATTGCCTTGGAATTGACTTGAGGGCAGGTGTTCATCATTATCAGAGACATATAATTGTCTTAAAAGAGGTAAACAGCTGCTTATTCAAGTACTCTTTCTGTCATATTTCATCATCGTAGGGAGCTTTATTTAATAACTATGCTGGGAAGATAGGAGTATGTGTGTGATGTTATAGGGCAAACAATGGGCTCCTGACCATACGCCGGTCCTTGGAAACCCTATACAGGGTCGCTATGAGTTGTAACTGACTCCACGGCACTTAACAACAACAACAATATGCTGAGAAGATAGACATGTTAGTTATAAATAGAAAATGTGAACAATATAAAATAATTGTATATTGTAAATTCAGTATCTGAGATAAAAGCTCACTAGGAACCTTACTAAACCCAAAATGCTTTGATGAGGCTGGAAGAGTGTATCCTAATTCAGGTCATTTGTCTCCTGAATATCAAGAATAATACCAATAACAAGCCTTTTGAACTAAAATGAGAGATTGATCCTTAGTGACCTGAGCAAGAATTTTTTTTCTGCTCCCAGGTTTACTCTCTTTTTTTTAAAATTACTTTATAAAATTTAATTCACAGCTTTATAGGAATTTGTATTACTTTAAAACACTACACTAATATACTATGTATGTATTTTTTCCTTATAGGTATTTGATTCCAAATGCAGGAGATGCTACCAAAGCCATAAAACAACAGATCATGAAAGTTTTGGATGCTTTGGAAAGTTAATATACAAGAAAACATTTAAAAAGAAATTAAGGCAACTAAAAGAAACATGGATCTATTTTCCTGACCAAATACTAACTGGAGACCTTTTATGTGCTTGTGGGATGCCTGAATAACAGGTCTAAGAAACTGTAAATTATTATAATCTATCTCTGAACAGTTAAAAAAAATTTTTTTGCAATTTTCTTTTGCATTTTCAGTTTTGTAAAATGACTTATTATAAAGGTCAGTTACTAAGTGAGTGTGACGTAACTTACCTTGTGCCCTCATGGATCAAAGGTACAAAATACAGTTCTGTTTTGAAGAGCTGTTTTAAGGGAACATGGATCACTTTCAGGTTTAAAAACAATCATACACATATATACTTTCAGTGTCTTCACTGAAAATTAGAGATAGTTGAAGAAACCCTGTATTATTTAGTTTTATCCACTGAGCAATATCAAAAGCTAACAAGTATTACATATGTTAATAATTATCTCACTGCTTCTGTTCTTAAAAAGAGTGTGAGATCTTTTAATGAAATAAATATTCCAGCCAGCTCAGAAATGCAGTTCAGCTACTAAAATGTTGAAACATCAGTTTCTAAATCGTTCTTGCACCATTAGCTAATTTGAATATTGAGCTTCAGAAATACTAAACCAGGTTTCTAAGGAGTAGTTAAAAGGTTTATAATAAAGTAAGGATTTTGAGATTAAAATTAACATCTTGGGGACAGAATTGTATCTATAAAAATGTCATTGGTCTTTATTACAAGTGGAATATTTGATTTAGGATATTAACAAAACAAGTGTTGAGCACACATTTATTCTGAGATTATGGATGTGACCACATGATTTCCACGTAAATAAAGCCAAATAATCAGAGCTTTGTAAACTATAATTGTTTTTATAATTTATGGAAATTTATCTTTTGTTTTTTTTAAAGTTCCAGTGGTTTGAAAATTTTTTTTTTTTTTCTTTTACTATGACAGAACTGAAAAATAGTCTGTTTTATTTTGCAGCTTTCTCATTTTAATTTATTGAAGGTGTACTAGAGCCATTTGATAGAGAAATCCAGGAATGCATTTGTGTCCATAAGATGACTTTTTGGGAAATAGTAGATCCACACAATCTGCCATGCACTAAATCTAATGGTTGTTATTAAGAATTGATAGAGGAAATATTGAGATATACCCTGTTAACAGTTATTTTTATTTAATTAAAGGAAATCAAGTAAATAAAAGGCAATATAATCCAAGAAATTTTATTCTAATATTTAACAACACTTTGAGTGGTTGAAGACATTTGTATGAAGTTGCACCTGGAGCAATTCGTGATATTTATAACTTTCCTCTACAACTGTTATATTGCATTTTTTCCCTTTTTCTGATGCCCCCTTTAGAAATGTCTTGAAGTATTGATTTTCACCCACTTCAGCCATGGGACTTTTTTCATATTATTAATGTAAAGATGTTTGTGTTACTGTTTGTAAATTAAAATTGTAAATAAACAAGTACAGTTTGCTCAAAACTTCATTCTTAATGAAAATGCCTCTGTATAGCTTTTATCCCTCTCCTCTGTAGAATTGTAAATCTGTAGATGGCAAAAACTCAGAAAACTTGAGTTACTATTTTAATAGAATTTCAATGCTTGTGTTTCAAGTTTTATAAGTATTAGATTCTTCTGTTCATCTAGAGAAAGAAGAGAGGAGGTAGTTTAAAACTGACAAATTCCAAATGTAAATTACTACCTTTATTACCTAAATTCTTGTTTTTTTCTTCTGAAATACCAAATGAATACTAAATGAAAATACATTTCATTGATTGCATGAATCCCACTGACCACGTGGTCAGTGATCATTCTAAAATAACCACCTCACATGGATTCTCAAGGTTTACAGTGGTTACAACATTATGAGGTTGGCAATATTTTCCATGTTTTCAAAACAGATAACAAGTTTAAAGAAGTTGGCTGCAATTTGGAAACAAATTACCCAACTTTTCTGTACTGGAGCCTCTGGGTGGGTTTGAACCACCAACTTTATGATTTATTCCCTGAGTGCAAACCATTTTTGACATGCCAGGGACCTTAAACATCCCTACCTATTCTCAAAATATTCTTATAGTGTTAATTTAAGCCAGCTTCCTTTTTAATTTAATCTACACTATTCCCAAGCATTAGAATAGCAAACTTTTTAATTCATTTTATAATTTTTATTTCAAAAACAAAAGCACTCTGCAATAGAATATGAACAACCAGATTTTAGTATATGAGAGGACTGATTTGTTATTGAGGGTAGTGTATGAATCATCAGAATTAATTTTCCTCTCCCCATTGTATACCCAAATCCTACTGACAAACTGCGTGCCTAAACTAACCAGGAGAATTCCACCCCCTTTGTCACATCGATTTGTTCAGCGAGCCCAAGCCAACCAGCATATGGTAATCCAACCCAAAAGAAGTTCAGTTCTTGAAGAGAATTGGCAACTCAAAGAACAAAAAATAAACCCACTGCCATTGTTGTTGTTAGGTGCCACCTTGTCAGCTCTAACTCATAGCAACCCTATGCGGAATAGAAAAAAACACTGCCTGGTCCTGTACCATTATCACAATTCTTATATTTGAGCCCATTGTTGAAACTACTCTGTCAATCCATGATGCTGAGGAGTCATCTTCTTTTTCACATCTACCAAGCATGATGTCTTTTTCCAGGGACTGGTCCCTTCTGATAGCATGTCCAAAGTATTCTTGCATCTAAGGAGCATTCTGGCTTTATTTCTTCCCTGACAGATATTTGGTCTTCTGGCAGTCCGTGGTACTTTTCCATATTCTTCACCAACACCATAACTCAAAGGCATTAATTAATCTCCAGTCTTCCGAACCATTTTCCAGCTTTCACATGCATATGAAGTGATTTGAGAATACCATAGCTTGTGTCAGGTGTACGTTAGTCCTCAAACTGGCATCCTTTGCTGTTGAACACTTTGAAGAGGCTTATTATTTTTGCAACTGATTTTCCCAGTGCAATATAGCATTTGATTTCTTGACTGTTGCTTTCATGAGTGTTGATTGTGTATCCAAATAAAATGAAATCCCTGATAACTTCAGTCTTTTCTCTGTTAGAGTCAGTGAGGATTTTTTTTTTCTTTACATTAAGTTGCAATCCATACTGAAGAATACATTTGATCTTCATCAGTAAGTGCTTCAAGTCTTGTTTCAGAAAGCAGCTTTGTTATTGAGCCTTCCTCCAATCATGATGCATTTTTCATATAGTCCAGCTGCTGGGATTATTTGCTCAACAAACAGATTGAATAATTATGGTGAAAGGAACCTTATGTGTACTTTTCCTAATTTTGAACCTTGTAATATCTCCTTGTTCTATTGAACAACTGTCTCTTGGTCTATGTACAGGTTCCTCATGAGCACAGTTTGTTGTTAGTGCTATTGAATCGGTTCCAAACTATAGCAACCCTGTTTAGGGTTTCCGAGGAGCAGTCAGTGAGCTTGATTGAGCCCACTGACCTTGTGGTTCAAATCATCCAGCACATTAATCCACAGCACCACATCAGGACTCTGAGCATGGCTTAGTGTTCTCAAATACTCATTCTTGGCAATGCTATTCATAGTTTGTTATGGTCCACATAGTTGAATGCCTTTGTATAGAGAAGCACAAGAAAACATTGTTCTGGTAGTCTCTGCTTTCAGACCAGATCTATCTAACATCAGCAGTGATATCCCTAATTCCATGTTCTCTTCTGAATCTGGCTTGAATTTCTGGCAGCTCCCTGTTTATGTGCTGCTGCAATTGTTTTAGAGTTATCTTCAGTAAAATATTACTTGCATGTGTTAATATCATTCACTAATTCCCACATAAAGATCACCTTTATTTGAAGCGGGCACAGATAGAAATCTCTTCCAGTCATTTGGCCAAATTTCTTGGTATAGACAAATAAGTGTGCCCAGTGCTGCATCCGTTTGTTGAAACATCAATTCATATTCTGTCAATTGGAGAGTCGTTTTTTTTTTTGCAATGCCTTCAGGGCAGCTTGAAAATTCTTCCTTCAATACCATCAGTTCTTAATCACATTCTGCCTCCTGAAATACTTCAACATTGACCAATTCTTTTTGGTACAGCAACTCTGTATATTCCTTTCATCTTTTGATGATTTTTGCATCATATTTTTGCCCATAGAAACCTTCCATAATTTTTTTCTCCAGTTCTTTCCCCTTGAGATATGCTGTGTTTTCCCCTTTTGGTTTTCTAACTCCAGGCCTTTGCACATTTCATTACTTAGCCTTCTCAAGTTGTTTGAAATTTTGTTTCACATCATCAGTTTTCATTCACTTTAACTAGCCCAAGAGCAAATTTCAGAGCCTTTTCTAACATCAACTTTTTCCACTTTTCCTGACTCAGTGATTCTATATAAGATTTCTGAGACTTCAAATCTGTAAATCTTGGAGGAAACAGTAAACTTATTTTTTTCCAGTGGAGTGGTTGGTGGATAGAATTGATGCTGGAGGTAGCATGATAGAATTTTGCAAGAGCAATGATTTATTTATTACAAATATCTATTTTAAACCCCATAAGAGACAACTATACACATGGACCTCACCAGATAGAATACACAGAAATCAAATGTACTACATCTTTGCAAAGAGACTGTGGGAAAGCTCCATATCATCAAACAAGACCAGCAGCAGAATGTGGAACAGATCATTAATAGCTCATATGCAAGTTCAAACTGAAGCTGAAGAAAAGGGTAACAAGTCCACAAGAACCAGACTATGACCCTGAGAATATTTCACCTGAGTTTATAAATCACCTTTAGAACAGATTTGATGCATTAGACACTAATGACCAAAGATCAAAGGAGTTGTGGGATGACATCAAGAACAGCATACAGGAAGGAAGCAAAAGCTCATTAAGAAGATGGAAAAGACCAAAATGGATTTCAGAAGGAGATTCTGAAACTTGCTCTCTAGTGTAGCAATGCTAAAGCAAATGGGGAAAAAAATGAGGTAAAAGAGCTGAACAGGCGAGGATCGTTCCACCCCCTCCATACACAGAGTAAACAAGGATGGGCAACTGGGACATTGGCTACCCAAAATGGTGGGGGAGGGGTGTGCTACAAAGGCAAAAAGTGACTGGCTTATAAGCTTTCAAAAGGGAGCCTAGATCCAGAGGGCACTGAAGAAGGTAGAATCTTCACTGAGTAGTATCCAATCTGTCTGGGAGGGGCTGATTAAAGGAGATGGGGATAGGTCTTTTGTGGTACAATAGTGAATAACTGTTATCAGGACTGACTGTGGGGGGGTTGTAAATGTAAAGGTAGACGTTTTGTAGCAAAAGGAGGGGAGTGGTTGACTTTGCAGTTCAGGAGCGGAGGTCCTTGGGACCATCAATGGAGAAGAGAGGAGTGTGGGACCTACCCAGAAAAACAGTGACCCCAGAGATGGAGGCAGAGACGATGACATGGAGAGATGAAGCAGCTGGGGACTCCAGACCCAGAGAGGGAGAGGGACTTGCAAGTTATACCCTTTGGTTTGTTGATGATGCATGGAGGGGATTGTAACCATGACAATGAAACGATATATGATAGGATAGGATGAATGTAAAGCTAATGTTCTCCCATGTAAACTATCATAATTCAAAAATCATTAAAAAAAAAAAAGCTGATGAGAAAAATTTTAAAAGACAAAGTCAAATATCATAATGAAATGTGCAAAGATCTGGAGTTAGAAAACCAAAAGGGAAGAACACACTCAGCATTTCTCAAGCTGAAAGCACTAGAGAACAAAATTCAAGCCTTGACCTACAATATTGAAGGATTCTATGGACAAAGGAGCTCTGGTAGCGTAGTGGTTATGAATCGGGCTGCGAACCACAAGGTCAGCAGTTCAAAACGACCAGCTGTTCCGCGGGAGAAAGATGAAGCTTTCTGGTCCTGTAAAGATTTACAGCCTCGGAAACCCTGTACAGGGTCGCTATGAGTCGGAACTGACTCCACGGCACATAACCAGCACCACCATGGTCAAAATATTGAATGATGCAGAAAGCATTAAAAGAAGATGGAATACAGAGTCACTGTATGAAAAAAAAGATGGTCAATGTTTAACCATTTCAAGAGGTAGCATATGATCAAGAGTCAATGGTACAGAAGGAAGTCCAAGGTGAACTGACGGCATTGGCATGGAACAGGGGTGGGAACCTTTTCTCTGCTAAAATTTATAACATTAATGGGCCATACAAAATTATAAACTTAAAAATTAGTCTGCTATATTTGATCAAACATTTAATTAACTCACCCCTAACGCCTAGTCAACTGGCTAGAAGAGATCCACATTTGTGCCCATTTCATAGAGAGGTGGCCCAACGGAATGTGGAAATCATGGGACAATATCATTAATATCACAAAAAAGAAAATTTTTGCTGAAGATAACATTGACACTTAGCTGCAAGAGGCTCAAGCCAGATTCACATGAGGATGGTGAACAAGGGATATCATTGTTGATACCAGATGGACCTTGGATGACAGCAGAGAATACCAGAAAGATAAATTCAATAAACCTGTGCTTTATTGACTATGCAAAGACTTTTGACTGTGTGGATCATGGGAAGCTATGGATAGCATTGCAAAAAATTAGTGTTCCAGAACACTTAATAGTACTCATTAGGAACCTGTACATAGACCAAGAGGCAGAGCAAGGGAATATTGAATGGTTTAAAATCAGGAAAGGTGTGTGACAAGAGTTGTATTTTTTTCACAGTATTTATTCAATCTGTTTGCTGAGCAAATAATCGGAGAAGCTGGATTATTAAGAAGGAGGTGACATCACAATCAGAGGGAGACTCTAGAATAATCTGTGATTTGTGGATGATACAACCTTACTTGCTCAATGCCTTGTTAAGTGCCATCAGTTGGTTCCGACCATAGCGACCCAGTATAGGGTTTCCAAGGAGCTCATGGTGAGCTTGAACCACCGACCTTGTGGTTCAAACTGACTTTGCAGTCTGGCGCTTTAACCTACAGCGCCACACCAGGACTTAGAGGACTTAAAATACTTAACTGATGAAGATTGAAGACCACTGCCTTCAGTATGGGTTGCACCTCAATGTACAGAAAACAAAACTACTCACATCAGGACCAATAAGTAACATTCTAATAAATGGAGAAAAGGTTGAAGTTGTCAAAGACTTCTTTTTGCTTAGATTCACTATCAACCCTCATGAAAGCAGCCGTCGAGAAATCAAACGTACTGCATTAGGCAAATCTGCTGCATAAGACTTCTTTAACGTGTTGAAGAGCAAAGATGTCAGTTTAAAGACTAAAATGCGCCTGACCCAAGACATATTTCAAAAGCCTCAAATACATGTGGCCTAGTTGAACAACGAATAAGTAAGTCGGTACCAGTATTGGGGCATTTGAGTTACAGTGTTGGAGAAGAATATTAAAAGTACCATGGACTGCCAGAAAAACAAATCTATGTTGGAGAAAGTACAGCCAGAATGCTTCTTAGAAGCCTGGATGACGTCTCTATCACTCCTGACATATTAGGAGGGGCCAGTCCCTAGAGAAGGACATCATGCTTGATAAAGTGGAGGGTCAGAGAAAAAGACCCCCACGGCGGTGGATTGGCACAGTGGCAGCAACAATGGGCTCAAGCTTAACAATTATGCAGACGGCGCAAGACGGGGCAGTGTTTCAGTCTGTTGTGCTTAAGGTAGCTATTGAGTAGGCTTAAGGTAGCTATGACTAGGAACCGAGTCCACTGCACTTAACACTCCACCTGAGCCAGGTTAAGAATGTTAGTACACAACCCCGATTTAGACCACCACCTCTTTGCCTCTTTACTTTTTCCAGAGTATTCCATTTTCGTGACCATGTTATAATAAGATTTTCGACCTACTACTATCCGGCGGCTAAAAGGTTTTGAGGATTGCTGAAACAAAGAGCCTCTCCCTGCAGCTGGCTGGCTCGGGGGCGGGGCGGATGAAGGACGACAAGGCTCCACCCCCACCAACGCAGTAGCTTTATTTGTCCAGCCCCTCGAGCCGTTGTAGTCAGCTGAGACACCGGTTTCAGACCGCAAGGTCCATGGTGCTTCCAGGGAAAGCCATGGCCAGTAAGTGGCGCCACTCGCAGGACTTTCCGATCACAAATGGGAGGGGAGATGGCGGGTGCAGCGCCGGCGGAGGGTCTCGCCGCTCAGCCCTCGGCTCTACCCATGTCCTCTTCGCGCCCGTAGCCTTCCTTAACCGGGCTGCTCAGGGAGCTCCAGGCCTGGTGGCCCGGCGAATAGAGGGATGAGAGGCTGGCCAGGCAGGCGTTTGGGAGAACAGCCAGGAGTTATTGACTTCCGGGACGCGAGGCTACTGGGAGGCCATAGCACTCCCAGTTATTCCAGACTTCCGGGAGCACGAGGTTTGCTGTGATCCAGGAGGGCGGGGCTGACAAGGCCACGAGCTTCTCGATGGTTCCAGACTTCCGGGAGGGCGTGTCTGGCCGGGTGAAGGGGCGTAGGCTTGTTAAATTGGATACACACTGGGCATCACCTGCGTATGGTCAGGCAGTGCTTCTAGAAAGAGTTCTTTGCCTCCTGCTCCAAAATCTCCTCGGGGTTGTGTCCTAACCCAAAAAACAGAATCACTGGAAATAGGCCCAAAACTTTGCACATTAAGTGCTGTTGGTTCCCATCATGTTGTTGTTACGTGCCGTCGAGTCGGTTCCAACCCATAGCGACCCTGTATAGGGTTTCCGAGGAGTGGCTGGTGAGCTTGAACTGCTGACCTTGCAGTTCAAACAGCTTTGCAGTCTGGCTCATTAACCCACAGCGCTACACCAGGACTCTGATTTATCATAGTAGATCATCTTAATTGGACCTTATCCTAAAAATAATGCAGTGCTTCTTCCCTAGAAACATGTCGTATTTCTTGAATTATTTATTTTTACTTTTTTATTTGGGATTAAAGGTATAAATTGTTATATTAAACAAAGATCAGACTTACTGTAGAACTAATCAAGTTTTATTTACATGTTGTTTATGGATTTGCCACTTGGTGGTTTAATTTTTATGGTTTCATAAAGGCAGATTCATTTTCATGGTTTCTTTCTTTTTTGTGTAAAAGAGATAGTTTCAATTAAAATAAAAGTTAGCAGTGATAGAAAAATGAGAGGAAAAACCGTAAGATATTTGCCATATTAGGAGTCCTAGAATCTGAATATTTGGTTCCCTACTCTGTTTTGTCTAACAAAAATTTATGTAGCACTTGCTATAAACCAAACATTGCTCTAAGAACTTTACAAATATTAACTAATTTAATTCTCACAATTGCCTGAAAGCTCTTGAAACAGAGACACAGAGAAGGTAAATAACTGTTATAAGGCCACACAGATCTAAGCATTCATTGACTTAAACATGAATATTTTAATTGTTTGAAATTTAATTTTTATAGGTCTGAGACCATTTATTAAGTCCTTTTGCCACTCACTTTTGCTCACCTGATTTCCTTATTTTCTTTCAGTTTCCTTAACATAGTTATTTTTAAACTATGGGTGGAACATGGGGTGAAGAACATTTACATTTGTTTAAATAATTAAACGATGCTTACTAGAAACCTTTGATAACTTAAATGATGATTTTTCCTCTTAAAATTCTTGGAATATAGGCATGTAAGCAGTAGTGACAGAGTAGGCAAGCCTTACCGTGGTGTGAAGCCTGTTTTCAGCATTGCGGATGAAGAAGAGTACGACACAGGTATAGTAACTCGTCTGCAGACTGCTTTCCTTATTCACCATGAATGATTATAGAGATCTTATTAAAAATTACTTTTTAGAAGATACAGTGAAATTATGGAGAGGAGAATTGGTTAAGACTATGGCCTGCTATTGTGAGTCTGGGTTTTGTTGTTATTAAGTGCCATTGAGTCAGTTTCGTGATGTTTATTGAAGATTTGAAGGTCTCTGGATGACGCAAACAGTTTTTACTTGACTACTAACTAAAAGGTGGGCATTTGAATTAACCCAGTGGTGTGGCATGGAGTCCTGGTGTGGTGCTATAGTTTCAGCTGCATGGTCAGTGGTTCAAACTCAACCAGCCACTCCTCAGAAACCCTACAGGGTTGCTGCTAATTGGAACCAACTCAACATCACTTAACAACAGCAGTGGTGTGGCAGGAGAAAGGCCTGATGGTCTTTTCCCATAAGGTTATATACCCAAGGAAACCCTCTGAAGCTCAGTTCTACTTTGTGACACATGGGGTCACAATGAGTTGGAATTAGCACAACATAATGGTTTTGATTTTTCTTACTAAAAACCCAAGCAAAAATATTGAGTAGGCAGTAATAGCAGTCTTCACCTGAGGAGAGAGATTTGAGCTGGAGATCATTTAGAAACTGTCAGTGCACAAACGATCAGTATTTAAAACCACAGGATTGGATTTATGTCTCCTCTGTTGTCCATCTGGTCTTGGTGTGACATTGCAGGTTAATATACTGGACTGCAAAGTCATTTGAACTGCAAGGTCAGTGATTCAAGTTCACCAACCACTCCTCGGAAACTGTATACTGGGTTGCTGTGGTTCAGAACCAACTCAATAACACTTAATAACAGCAACAACAATCACCTATCTGGACTCCTGATAATAGGGTGCTGTAGGATCAGCACTGGACTGCAAACCACAAGATTGGCAGTTTAAACTCACCAGCTGCTCCTTGGAAACTCTGTACAGTGTCACTATGAGTTGAAACCAACTCGATGGCACTTAACTACAACAGTCACCCATGTGGAGTTCTGGTGTGGCACTGTAGGATAAGCACTGGACTGTTCATCACAGGTTCAGTAGTTCAAGTCCACCAGCTACTTCTTGGAAACTCTCAATACAGGGTCACTATGAGTCATAACTGACTCAGAGCACTTAACAGTATCACCTATGTAGAGGAATAAAGAGTTGTATTACTGAAATGCAGGGACTTCCAAAATTGAGACATCTGAAGAAAGCCTTTTGAAACTGGAGGCAATATCCTAAAGGGCCACAAGATGGAGATACTGTGCCAGGACAGTTTATCCTCTGTGGGTCTCTAGATTTATGATAATCCTACTTCCAAGTTACCACGAGTATTTATTAATAATGATTAACATACATATTGAGTTAGAAAAAAATCAACACATTATATAAATGTACAAAATAACTTTTCCCCAAACCATACCTTGCTTTTTTCCACTTTGTAAAAAAAAAAAAAAAAAAAAAGTTGCGTATTTTCCATTTCAGCCCATTCTCTTTATATCTTATGACTATGTTGTTTTAAGTACCGTCGAGTTGGTTCCGACCCATAGAGAACCTGTATAGGGTTTCGGAGAAGCGATTGGTGAATTTGAACTGCCGACTTTGCAGTTCAAACCAACTTTGTAGTCCAGTGTATTAGCCTGCAGCACCACACCAGGATTCCATATTTCTAAATCCTAAGTTACGACTATCACAGCAACTTAAAAGCCACCACAGTACGACAAACTGACAGACAAGTGGTGGTACCGACTTGATGGCACCTAACAACAACAAACAACAAATTATGACTGTACCATAAGTTATTTAACTACTCTCCTTCCAACTGATGCTGATATCAGGCTTTCCTGTTTCAAATGGCAATATATATATATATATATATACATATATATATATATGTTTTATATAAACTTTTGCCCAGGTATATCCATAGGGTCAGTTCTTAGCAGTGAGATTGATAGAGGGTATCACATTTGGTGTCTTAATAATAGTTATTATGAAATCACCTTTCAAAAAGCTTGTATTGATGTGCTATTTCTAGTATTTTTCTTTTTATCTTTTTTCTCTCTTTGTTATCATTTTCCTGTTCTCTCTCATCTTCTGTTTCTTCTTGATACAGCTCCTTTTATTCTCATGTCTGTTTCCCGTATCTTTTTAATTATACATCTTAGCCTGTAGCAGAGGGAAGAGGAGAATGAATGAATAAACTCTGATGTATTTGCACCTTGGAAAATTACACAATAGTGAAAATGAGAAAACTATATGTGTGTGTATAAAATACACATAATGTTGAAGATTTGCAGAAGAATGCAATTGAGTTAGTCTGCTATTTATATAAATTTTAAATTGCAAAACAAAGTGTATTATTAGGTATATTCATAAACGGTTAGAATATTTGGAGCTGGTAGCACCATATTCAGATTGTCACTGCTCCTTGATGGGACAAGGAGAGGAACGTGATTAGGGAGAAAGATAAAGAGGGCTTATTTTTATTTCTTAAGCTTCAGGGTAGATACATGAGATTTCCTTTTTGTCCCTTTGTATTTTTAATCATCTATTAAAAACCAAAAAGGAGAATATTTATAACTGTTAATTCTAGGAACTGTAATTGTCTTTCCTTAAATCAGAAAAAATATTAGAACATTTTCTATTTCTTGTAGGCAAAAAATAAAACACCTAAACTGAGTTTTATTTTCTAAATTGAGTTTTACTTGTATATCTCAGGATTGATTTTGTTCTTTTCCCTTTAAATAAGATACCAGCAATAGAAAAATAACTCTACCATATTTGCCCTCAACATTTGTTGTGAAGTTCTGTAGAGTCGGTTCCCACTATAGTGCCCTGTATAGGGTCTTCAAGGAGCAGCTAGTAAGCTTGAACTGCCGACCTTGCAGTTCAAATGGCTTTACAGTCTGACGCATTAACCCACAGCACCATACCAGGACTCCAGCATAAGTGCTTATTATTAGATAATTCATCCATTTCTTTGTAGGCTAGCCACAGATCATATTTATGCTATTTATGTCTAAAAGGGAGCGTGGTAGCTCTCTGTAGGATAAGTATTGGACTGCTAACCACATGGTCAACAGTCTGAGCCCACCAGCCACTCCATGGCAGAAAGATGAGGCTTTTGTTTTGCAAAGATTTATAGCCTTGTAAACCCTATACAAAGGAGCTCTGGTAGCGTGGTGGTTACGAATCAAGCTGCTAACCTCAAGGGTAGCAGTTCGAAACTACCAGCGCTTCCGCGGGAGAAAGATGAGGCTTTCTGCTCCTGTAAAGATTTACAGCCTTGGAAACCCTATACAGGGTCGCTATGGGTCGGAACCAACTTGACGACACTTAACAACAACAACACATCAAAAAAGTTGAAATTCCCTCAATAGTTTAATCTTTAAAAATTTTATTCTCAATATTTTCACCTGAGTTTCTTCCTATACATATGATGTTTCATAATTGTATTTCTGTATTAGTATTGGTTTCTTTTGAACTATTATGTTCAAAATACTACTAGTATTTTTTTTCAAAATGTTAAGAAATGTATCGTCTTTAAAGTTATATGCAAAACTGTTCACTTTTAACACTCTAAATTCTTTATAGATGAAATTGATAGTTCTTCAATGTCAGATGATGATCGAAAAGAGGTTGTAAACATTCAGACTTGGATAAGCAAGCCAGACATCAAGCATCATTTTCCTTGTAAAGAAGTGAAAGAAAATGGACACATGTTTCCTAGGTACTTTTAAAAATGTTTTCATCAGAAGTGAAGTTAAATTTGGTATAGTTAATAATATAAAACTGATCGAAATTCAGAAGAGCTTTTATTTATCTAAGTTATATCCTTCTGGCAACTTTTATCATATGTCTGTGCTCAAAAAAATTTATTTTTTCCCTTTTTATTGTCAATTGAGTGAATTTTTATAGCTCGTCAGTTTTACATTCTGCAAATTATGCACTTCATTACAATGATTGCAGTCTCCTCCAGGTGTCATCAGTTGTCAACTTTACTCTTGTTTATTGCCTGCCCCATCACCCATGTTGACATATACCTTACCCTCTAGCCCGTGAATAGTTCGCCCCCCCCCCGTCTTATGCCTGTCTTGTCACCATGTTAAAGTTGTTTACCCTCTAGCCCTTGAATAATTTTTCCCTCCCCAGCCTGTAACCTTCATAGAAT